CCCAGCTAGAAGAAATCTACTTTCTCATTGTTCCTTCCTTGTTTAACATATCTGAGGCTACTGATGCTCCACAAATACCCACTTATTAAAGACCCACTCTGTGCCAGGTACTGCACCTGGCACTGGGGATATACTGGGGATAAAAGATATAGACATGGCCCCTTGTTCACGGAATGATGGGCTAGTGGGGGAGGCAGATATGCATCAAGGAATCACACCATTAAATCTGAAGGGGCACTTAAGATCAGCCCTACAGGGGAAAGGTACTGGGTGTTCCAGGAGTTAAGAGGCTGCATTGGGGAAGTGACAGTTGACCTGAAATCTGAAGGCTGAGTAGAAATTAACCAGGTGGAGAATAAAGAGGATGGCGTTCCAGGCAGAAGGCATAACAGGGCACAACAGCGGTGCAGGGGGAGAGCATAGTATTTGCGATGCTCCAAAAGGAAGCCAGCGGCTGGAGAGAAGCGAGTCATAGGTGTGGGGCTAGAGGAGGTGGGAGAGGCAGGCCAGAGCCACAGCACGCAGGCAAGCTCGGGGCTTTGTACTGTGTCCCAGTAACTGTGTGTCCACCCATTTGCCCTTACCCCACTGTAAGCTCCTTTGTGTTTACGGTACGGTGTCCCTCGCCTTTTATAAGAATCCCAGTTCCCCCCACCAGCCCTCTGTGTTTATGATTATATAGGAAATTTTAGCTATGGTGTCAAGTTACAGGCCAACTTAAATAGGGATAAAAATAAAGTGGTGCATTCCTGAGAATGAGAGAAATGGCCTCTCCACCTGAACAAAGAGGAGGAATTGAGATACATAATCAGCTTTCTGTTTCTCTATGGTGTATCTAACCAAGGTGAATGCAGCGCCCCTCTTGTCAGTCAGCAAACCACCAGTCTGAAGTGTCCAAAACCATGTGCAGGAAACTCTAACAGACTTAGGTCCAAACCTTTGGAATTCCTTGGCAAGTTAGGCTGGCTATTACAATGGGGGGTGTCTAGCGACTACAGAGTGGTGATATTTATATCCCCCACAGCAGCTTGCATTAAACAGGTGTAATAGTTGATCATAAATATTAAACTGAATTTTAGGATATTGAGAACCATTGTATAACCAACGAAGGCACACATTTTCTGGGACTTTTACCAATGAGGCAGTACAATGTTGTGAAAAGAGCACTGGCCGAGATTCAGGAAGACAATATTCTGGTTCTCACTCTGGCTGTGTCATGAAGGAGGTCTTGGGCCCTGGACAACTCTTTCAAACCAGTATAAGCCCCACCTTCATTATAAAATATGATGAAGTCATGTACTTAAGTATTGTCAGAAGAAAGGCAAAAGTAATCAAAACTACCTGGAAAATGCCTGAGGAAGGCACAATATTGGAGCCTGACACACCACACACCGTCTCTCATTAAGTCCAACGTTGCCAATTTCTCCCCAGTGTTGGAAAGGATTGCAGTTGACTCAACTGAACACCAGATGAAGCGGCTGGCTTGCATTCAGGAGCCATGTTGCAACAAAAAATGTATCTTCTCTTTAAACACTGAAACCACACTCAGTGAGCTGAGCTGCTTTCTGAGAAGCACATGGTCCTGACTGAGGTAATAGAGCCACGTGCACATATCCCATTTCCCCAACTGCTGTTTCTGTACCTGCTAAGAGAAGAAAACGATACCTCCTCATCCCTACCGACCTCAAAAGCAGTCTGAGGATAACTGTGGATACATGTTACAGAAAACTTTTATAAAGTCCAAGTCAGTGAAATAAATGTCCAAAATCAATTTGTCAGGTCAACACTAGGTTTTATGCAGCCAACACATACGATAATGTAGTATCAGTACATATGATAGAATCTCAGGGCTACAAGTGTTCTTAGAAGTATCCAGTCCAATTCCCTACTCAGAGTCCCATCTACCACAAAGGAAAGAGCAGTGCAAAGACAGGGAGCTCACTGTTCAACAAGGTGACCTATTCTGTGCTGCACTTAGATATCTTTCACTCAACGACTTGATATCTTTTTCTTTAGAACTTGCACTCAGATTTTAGTAATGTCTTTTGCAGCCACACAAGCTAAGTATTCTTGCATGTGAGAGCACTTCAGACATTTGAGGACAGCAATCATGTCTCCTCTTCTCACAGGACATGGGTACCAAAGCCCTCATTCACCATCCCAGGCACACGCCTCCACAAGTACAAAATTTACCAGTGTCCCCATTACAGTGTGGGCAGGAGACCCAGGCCTGCCTATACATGAGGTTCCGATAATAGAAAAACTCATTTCTGTCTTGGAATGAAGGCTGCAAATCCAGAGTAAACTTACAAATAGGGCTACAGGTTGAAGATCTCTCTGTTAAATGAAAATTGCAGATGTGCCCATTTTACTGATAAAGAACATAGACCAAAAAAAGAAAAAAATTTCACCACCTTAATTCCACAAAAAGGAACCCAATTTCTAAAGTTCTCCATCATTTACATATTTGAAATGGCTCCAGGGCCTATGTTTGGGATCCTGCATGGATGCCATCTCTGGAATTCATTTTTCAATCAGATACTTCCAGAATCAAGATACTGGAATTTATTTGTTTCCTAATGCCCAGAGATAATCGAGAATGTCACAGGTATTTCTCAAGAATATTATGACCTGGTGCACCCATTAACTTGAACATGAGTAAGCATAAGGAGAGACTGAGATCATCTCCCCAACAGCTCTAACAGCTCCTGAACAAACGCAGTCTCCTAAATTTTCCTAATTCCATGGTTCTTAAGAGACCAATGGCTGAGTAATTCTACCAGTGCTATACTCGTCTCTGTAATCTGTCCTGATCACTCTCTGGACCTTGCAATGACTAGGATGTACAGCACAGACAGGCTGGGATATATACTGTGAAATCTGTTCATGGTTTTTACCAAGAGTTGACAAGTTTAAAAATACAGTGTAGGAAAATTACTCATAGTTGTGGAGGAAGATAAGACAAATGTGCCAAATGGGCTTTCAATGAGGACTTCTTAGTGTGAACATATGTAAAAAGAACTATTTATAGACATAGGCATTATGATAAAAATCAAGCTAAGTTCTCAAGAAAGCTTATAGGTACAAGATCATGGTGATTATACGTACAATGAACAGCTTGTTCATGAAGGACCATTTTGTTCACTGTTAATGGACCAGCATACTTGGCTCCCCAGAAACATTTCAACCATACAAAACATACCAACACGTTAGTCAGAAATATAGCTTTATTAATATTTCATAATCTAAAAACTTTTTTTAATTCTAAGAAGAGAATATTCCAACTTCTATACAACTGACTGACCCTGTAGAATACTGGAAAACAGTGTCTAGGCAATCTGAACTCTGCTATTAAGAATCTGTAAGCTAGTTCGGGAAAAAAGAAAGAAAGAACAGTTCAAATAAAGATTTCTTCCTTACAAAACAAATAAAATTAGATCCATTCTTCAGTTTAACCTTGAACACAGTTTCCAAGAAACTTTGGTGATTTCTCCAAAAAAGCAACTCTAAGGTTGATTGCCCAAGTGGACAAAGAAAATATTTAAAAATAAGACCAAGTGGGACACAGCACATGGCCTGAGCCATGGCATGTAAGTGGGATATCCTTCAGAGTGAGCCAGCTCCCATGTTTCAAGAGCAAATTTATGGGAAGTACAACATATATAATGCATTTCCTTGTATGAGGCTCAGAATTTAGTTGGAACTTAAAAAAAATTTTTAATATAATAAATCTGAAAATTATTTGTCTTGTGTAATTTACATAGAGTAAATATGACATTATGGTGCTTTTGAAGATTACTGGGTACCACTGTCAAAGACAGCTATCATGCCTTCTAGGTATATTAAAGGAAAATTGAAAATGTAGGTTACACTAAATAAAATGGAAAAAAAATCTGGCTATACCACCTTTAAAAACAAGTTGTTGTCCTTGCACACACACATTATGGGACAAAGAACATGCAATACAACTAACAAGTCAATTTTTTAGTATGTAAAAGGCTAAAGTGCAACCATGGTATAAACATCAATAATAAATAAACTTGGAGGAGGTTAATTCTCCCAATAAATAATTGTAACATTACAATTTTTACAATGTTAGCCTAAACAGTGATATTCACAGCAATATTTTCTCCCACTTGATAGTTGCCTATATACCACACGAATGGCCCATCCCCATAAGCCAAAAGTCAAAGTGAAGATTCAAAAATCAACATTTTCACTATGATAGATTCAAAATGTTTGTATAAGGATAAATTACACTTTTCAATTTACTGGCATTTTAAGTAATTGCCTTATTACCTATTTTTAATGCATTGCTAATCTGATGCATATTGCAATAACAATCATAATTCTACTAACGTTAATTAGGTTACAGTTTTAATTTTTAAAATAAGAGAATTCAATATACATGAACATATATAGTTAAAAAACCACCCACAACACACACCTTTTCCATGAGTATTTAAAAATAAATACACTTGACATATATATTTTGTATGTATTATATATATATGTATATATGTAATATTTGTGGACATAATTATTCTTGTTTCCAGAAGGATATCAGCACTTATAAACTCCGCAGGAGACCTGATGATATTGCTAAATTTAACAAAAAAGTAACATGGAAATCCATTCTTGAAGAAAATTGTAAAGCAGGAGGTTCTTAACAGATGGTTCTTTGTGGAAACAAAGGCCATTTTAGGGAGGGAAGGGAGGATGGTCTCAGATTCTGGATCCCACATGCATTGTTTATTTCAGAAATTACTTTAGAAAGTGGTGTACAATGAACACTTCCGCTACTTGATTGAAAGGTAAGAACAAATATTCTAGTCATAAAAGGGCACAGAAGCAGCAGGAGGCAGAAAAGTTAGGCCAGCAAGAAGAAAGTCACGCCTACGGCTAACAGAGAGGCAGGCATCCATTCAAACCCTGAACTGGTGATGGCGCTGATCCAAAGGGTTGTACTGTCTTCCCCACCACAGGAGAAGCAGCAGCTATTAGGACAGAGGCTGGCAGCACAGTCTTAGGGTGGAGAGTACTCAGCCAAAGAGAGCAGAGGTGCACCGAAATTGGAATAAACATGCATCCAGGGAAACAAAAAGCCTGAATCAAACAAACCGGAAAACAGTCCATCAAAATGAGAACTGAAGTCTGACTGAACGAGTCCCTGAAGCAACCCAAACACTGAAATCTTGATTAACCAGAATACTCGACGAAACAAGCATCCTTATTTTGGAGGCTTCCAAATTAATTGAGGGGAAGGTTAGAAACAAACAAAAATACTTTTATTTTACTGCTACTAACAGAACTTTACATTCCCATTCCTTGCCTCACAATTCAGAGAGCAGGGGACACAGATGAATTTTTTCCCTGTACCTGACATCTTGTGTGGCCTTGGGTCTGAGAATGAATGACCACTGCATAGAATCCCAGATCTGGAAACTACTGGAGACTGGGCTAATTATTTTAGAAGTTGGAACTTTGTTTTACTAAAACTTTGGGATAAGACTGTCTTCATTTTTGAAATTATTTCTGTAATTTGCCTCTTGCTTCTAAAAAGGGGCTGTAAAAAAATTCTGGTTCACTGAGATTTCTGTTTGTTAAATTCTGGTTAATCCAGGCACCTGTACGGACATGAAATAAATTATTATACCCTTTGCTTTCCCAACGTGTCCTACTCTGGGATGTGCCCAAAAGAACATTACTCTTGGCCCCTAGAACAACATTCCCCAAAGCCCAGCGATGGTGGTCCAGAGCCACCCACCCCTTCAGATGATGTTCACGATTGCTGTTGGCTTTTTTTTGGCCATTTTGGGCCTGACGTTGCCTTTCCGGCTAAACACCAGAAGCTCCCCTTTCTTCGGTGGTCTGCAGAGTTCTCTTGGGGACTCAGCCTGTTCGTGAATGGACTTGGCAGGCTGCTTGCTGGCTCTGTCCTCCTTGGCTTTTTTCAGGTAGCTCCTTCCCTTTGGATGAAAATGGGCCTTGAGATCGGGGTGGTGACACACAGAATGTGGGTGCCCTCGGCTTCTACAGATGGTCGGGCAAGAGGAGGGAGATGAGCAGAAAGAAAGATTTCTTTAAATCCTGAAAAGAATAACAACTACCCATGGCACAACACCCCTGCATGCTAGAGTAGTGATAATACTGCTGGTAAAACAAATAATATACATTGGTATTTTTTTCCCAAAAATTCCTGTGGCCTTCATGAAGTGGTCTCATGATACTAAATTCCCAGAGAGATATTACTAGTCCTATTTACCAGTGATAAAAACTGAGGCATAGAAAATTTAAATGACTATCCAGGAGAATACATACAGTTGGTCTACAGAGAAGACGGAACCAGAACCCATATCTCTTGACTCTTTACGTAACTACTAGGGGACTCAGACAGATCTGTAGTACAGCTATTATAAAGTATATGATCCATAGTATAAATGAATATATATAATGTAGTACACATACTACATTAATAGTACTGTAGAGCTATTATGACACTATACCTCAATAAGAAAAAGTTATACTATATAATACTGTAAAAATACTCTAGTACTACCATACTGCCATATACTAATAGACTATTAGCATAGTTAAAAGTCACATCCACATTTTAGAAAGTTAAGTACACAAGCATTTTTGCCTAAAACTCTCAAATCCATTTATATTATAGATATCATATAAAAAGCAACAGGAAAACGTATTGTGCAAACATTATCAAATGGCCCAAGTATAGAAAGATATACATACAGGCATTTGGGTTTCCTATTTGAGGAGATATCTGTAAGCTGAAGGAAAACAAATAAGAAAAAGCATTACTTCACTTGAAGGCTGGATTTGGTTTTAAAAATCTTCCTTGCTTGTATTTTTAAGAAAGTGTATTCCTGTTAAGGAAGCCAATAACTGCTGTCGGCAGCACTGCCCATGGACCACCTACCACAGCAGTGACCAAGAACGTCTCGTCCTCAGCCTCTGCTTACTCTGAGATTTCCAAGAAGCCAGTATCAGCAGATCTCAAAAATTTCAAAATGTCAAAGAGCCCCCCAATAGAGCAATGTTTTGAAAAAGCATGTTTTTAAAAACTGGAATGATGTGCCATTATTTCTTGATTGATTCAGGCTGTATTTGTAGCTAATTTACTACAGCTGTGGCTGGTCACAGTGCATCAACTAAGGGGGAAATTGGCATAAAATGTTTATTGCCTAAAATACAACATTTCTAAAATGAGAACATATGAAGACCAACTCCACAACTGTCCCTGAGGCCATCTATCATTGAGATTATTTTTCACTCCCAATAAAATATCTGCATGCACTTTCATGGCTGGGCTCAGAATATCATTTGCAGAATAAATTGATAATTATCATTTTGTGATCCAGATGTCACCATCCACTTTACAGGCAAACCCAGTGTGTTCCCAATCTTTAGTTCCTGACCTCCATCATGCAGCCTTCAGTAAAATAAGCGGTGTCACGTCAGAAGGCAGACCAACAGAAGAAGAGGATGACAAAGAAAAAGTGGAGAAAGGCCCATCTGAGTGTTGGGGCCCAGCGTAGAAAAGACACGTGTCCCCGCTATACTCAACCCAAGAAACCAAGCTCCGCGTAACAGGATCGCTCCTCAGGTTCTTCTGTCGGCAGTTTGAGCTTTAGGCAGCAGCCAATCGGAAAAAGGTTTCTCAAACTTTTGAGGGTCACGACCCCAGAAGGCAAGATGGGATTCTTGACTTCTGTCTTTTGACACAATCAGAAGTCTCCATTATTGTTGACCCTATTCATGCTGGCTGGGTTCGGCATGCGATTAGTAAATGTGAACAGAAAAAGTCACCTTCCATGCATGAAGGTCGTGAGGTTATGCAACATACAAAGGAGGTGGGACAGATCGCTCAGGCAAACACCAGGCTGGCAGCTTCTGGGAACCCTGAAGCCATCAGCATTTCCACCTTCTTGCCCTCCTGCCCCACCAGCACCAAGGGGAGTTTCTCAGCTGGGCTCCTTGAGTGGACTTTAGTGTATGTGTAAACTGTAAAAAATTTACAGGGCTTTTCTTCCTTTAAATTCTTCCCTCCTTTTTTTAATACTTATTGAGGCATAACAAAATTTTTTCACTTTACGGTATGTATGTATGTGTGTAAGCATATAATTTGATGATTTATTGCATATGTATACATAATATCCTTTGGAATTTTATGCAAAATTGAGAGAGAGAGAGAGAGAATGCGCATTCCTTCTCTGGGGAAAAGGCCAACAGTGTTATCAAATGTTCAAAGGGGTCCCTGACTTCCAAAACGTTTTAAGAACTACAACTTTAGCGCCTATGAATGTCACTGACAGACCCTGCTGGGACCTGAGGAAATCAGAAGAACTGACTATGTCTTACAGAAAGGGAAATGCATTAATAAAGATAAGCCATAAATCTCACACAGACACATATATACAGGTACCATAAACTGTGCATGTCTCTATGCCCCACACTGGGGAAAATACTGACCATATAACAAACACAATTAACCCTCAAAACTACCCCATGAGGTAAGCATTATCACCCTCATTTTACAGATGTGTATATATGAAGGCAGAAAAGTTGAGCAGCTGGTTCGAAGCCTCAATGCTTCACCAGTGTTGGGGCTGGGCTTCAGACCCAAGTCAGCACATTCCAAGCCCCAGCAAGGCTTCACTCTGCACTGCCTCTCTACAAAGTACATGTTTGTGTTTATAAGAATAAGAGCAAGGAAGTGTGTACACAAAAAGTCAAGTGGAATCCATGGCTGGATCAGAATTTCTCCAGTGATCCTACAGATTAAGAGGCTTGGGGAGGAGGCGGGGCTCATTATCAGTCCCCATAGCGTTTCATATGCTCTCCTCCCTGTGAACACAAGAGGCCACTGTTCCTCCTGGTCCCTACAGCCTCAGGTGGATGGAAACACTCTTCCCACTCAGCCCATCTATCTCCATTTTCTCCTAGTCCAACTACTTTGCCTTCTTTTTGCTTAGGGAGAGGGGAGTCTGAAGATGGGAACCAAGAGAGTCCTTGATCAAGGTTCCAGGTTGGAAAAATATACATATTCACTGAGAGTCAATTGCACTGAGAGCCAATCTAAGTACTTCTAAAACACAAAGATGGTGTCTCAGGCTATGATAGGCTTGGGGAAACTGGACACCCAGCCCTCCTCCAACTTGCCCTTTGTGTAAACAGCAGCAGCATATACTCGGTTGTTCAGGCCAAAACCTTAGATTTATTCTTGATTCCTCTCTTTCCCTCACCTGCTAAATCTAATCCTTCAGCAAGGCCAACTGGTCTTGTCAATTCTACTCCCAGAGCATATCCTACACCCATCACTTCTCTATCTCCACTCTATCCAAGCTGCCATCCTCTCTCACCTCCACACCATAAGAGCCTTCTAGCCCACCTGTCATTCTTTCACCCCTCCAGTCAATTCCCCACAGAGTACACAGAGTGATTCTGCTAAAACATACATCACCTCTCGCTTAAAACATTCCAATGGCTTCCCTGTGGGCTCTGGAGTAGATCCCAACTCCTTTTGTGACCTAGGAGCCCCAGCATGATCTGGATCCTTCCCAACTCTCTGACTCCATCTCCTACCACTCAAACGTGCCAAGCTTGTTCCCTCCTAAAGTACTTGCATTTCCTATTCCTTTGTCTAGAACATTCTACTTCCAAATTTTCACAGAGCTGCCTCCTTCTTGTTATTCAGGCCACAGTGCAAATGTTGCCTCCTCAGCAAGGCTTTTCACTAACGCTGAAGTGGACATCTCAAACACACCATCTTACTTTTTTCTTTACAGTAGTTATCACTATACAAAATTATCTTCATTATGTGGTTACTTGTTCACCGTGTCCCCTCCTGAGAGTGCGAACCTCAACTACTCGTTTACAGCAGTCTCCTCAGCACCCAGTGAGCGCTGCATCTCCGATAAATATGTGTTAAATGAATTACTGCTAGTCCTAATTTAGCAACTGCAGGAAATAAATGCAACGCTTAAAATAAGATTATCCATGCTGTTTCATGACCTTCCACTTGAGCAGTTCTGTGAGTGATTTTGGCAGATGGGATATTAGGTCACTTTGTGTCTGATTCGACAGCATTTTTCAGAGCATAAAGACAAAATATCTGAGTAAGCATATTACATTTTTAGAAACCAGCCAGGTGGAAAAGAACATAAATGCTCAAGGGGATCAAGGGAAAGATACCGATGCCAAAATATTTTTTTCAGAAAAGGCACTAAATGTGAGGGGGAAGGAAATTTTTCTAGAGCACAAAAGAATCTTAAAGCTAGAAGACACCTTAGAAAGAAGCAACTTACATATCAACCTAGAAATTTCACTGCTCTCTGGAGGTGGTAATGAGGGAAAGAGGGAAGAGGAGAGAGGGAGGGAACTGGGGGTGGGTGGAAGAAGGGAGATGAAAAGGCTTGACATGGTCTTTGTAGTGTAGCCTTAGTGGAGACGGTAGGAGCCGACTGTTCTGGAGGAAGGAGCTGAGGTGTTGGGGGAGGAGGTCAGAATGTTCTGCTCCATCCTGGGGGGCATTGGGGCAAGAAGCTCTCCTGGGTGGGGCTGAGGCTCCAGAAACCTGGGCATCTTGGTGCTCTATGCCTTCCCCAAGCTAGGCCAAATAGGTTAACAAAGGTATGATTCAAAGTTTTTCCTGCTAAAAGAATCTAAGTTCTTCTGTGTACCTAGAGCCACAGATACCCTGGGAGGCCACACTTAACACTTTCATTACATCAAAGACATGGCTCCTAACTTCACAGGTGAATGTATAGTATTCCAATGAAACAGACTAAGTAAAAAGGAGAAATGGTCTTAGGGTCTATAGACTGTCTCATAATGTGGTATGTTACGGTCCAAAGCAGAGCTTAGAGGATTTTACATGAAAACAGGGGAAACTACATCTGCTAAATGCTTTCAGAAATCAAACACTTCATTCCAGGTCTTCTCAGAGGAATGCATCCTCCCTCCAGTAGTCAGACAGTTCACCCCACTACAGCCTGATCATGCCCTCCTAGCAGTCAGCTCTCACTTCTAACACCCTGTTACAATCTTAACTGCACTTTATTTTATTTGAATTAGTCAATTCTTCCCTAGGTAGGTCAAGTCTGAAGAAGGGAGATGAGAGCCAGCCCCGGTGGCCTAGTGGTTAGGTGTGGTGCGCTCTGCTTTGGCAGCCAGGGTTCGGTTCCCGGGCACGGACCTACATCACTCATCTGTGGTCATGCTGTGGTGGTGGCTCACATACAGAAAGAGGAAGACTGGCACAGACGCTAGCTCAGGGTGAATCTTCCTCAGCCAAAAAAGAAAAAAAAAAAAAAGGCAGATGATGTCATGTTTGGGACATGGAGGACATAAACATAAATATTTATTAATGTCCTACCATATTTGTATGTATGTGTACGTATGTGTATATATGTATTTATGTGCATATATGTGTGCAAGGATATATATGTTGTGCGTGCATGCACACATACATATAATTTTATATATACACATTTGACTAGAAGAGCTGAGATGCTGTTCTATTTCTGATCACATGGTACAGGAGGATGAGAAATAATGACCGGCTACGTCTTTTAAAAGGTGTTCAATTTTCAAGACGGAAAAATAAACTGAGTAGAGGAAGTACAGAAATATAAATATAAGAGAGAATTAACAGGCTTCTTGTCTTCCTTCTTGCCTTCTACTGTTTTCTGTCTTTCTTTAAGATTCCTCTTGGCTTAGTAGTAAAATTTTATACATTTTTAGCTCTGGGTTACTTGTAAGCCTAAATATTGAAAATATTAATGCTATATTTTAATTTTAGAATTCCTAACCACCAAAGTCAGGTGATGATCAGAGAATTTAAGAGGCCAAAAGACCTCAGAGAGCATCTAGTCCAACTGCTTCATTTTATAGAAAAATTACAGATCTAGGAAGACAAACTGTCTTGCCCAGTCAGAAGCAGAGTGGGAATGATCTGGAAGCCAGGTCTCTTCACCTCACCTCTGGGCTCTGTGACCAAACCACAACTTCATACCACAACCCTCTCCTGAGAGAGGGCAAGATGGAGAAGAGGGCAGGGGAGGGCTCAGAGTGTCCCTCCAGACACAGTTAGTTATAACTGGACTCTCCCAGTTTCCCAAGGAGGTGACTGAGGAATCGAGGAGGGAAGTAAAAGTTCTCTCTCAGGAGATCACAGACACCCACCTAGAAAATATGTCATGTAGCTGAAATTGCTATGATTACACTTACTGGAACCTCACAGATATAACAAGTTTACTTCCTCCCAGTCTACTTTTGTTCCTGACTGGAAAGTTCTGGAGCTTGCATTACTGTACTGCTCTAAAGCTGAGTCTACATTATTACAGTAAGCACTGTGTAAGATTTCTTCATTTCTTTCCCTCCTTCCTCTCTTTCTTCCCTGTTGTCTGCCTCTCTCCCTGCCCTGTCTTCCTTCTTTTATCCACCTGCCGTTTATTTCATTCCTTATTATTTAACCATGTTTCCTTTTAGTTTTGGCTTCCAGAATGCTCAAACCAAACTTTTTTATCAACCAACAGCAACCTTGCTAACCTTTTGCTTAGCACAAATGTTTCCTATTTTTCTTTGCCTTATATATATAGTCCATTTTGGGGAGAACTAAAAGAATCATTTTTAAATCTTCTGGGAAGGAGGTAAGCATAAATAAAGTTGAATAGATAACGAAAATGTTATAAATAAACCAATTTGGGGTTTCAAAAATCCTTTCTTTGGCTTTGTTGTTTATACCATCAAGGAAATTATATGGAGGGCAAATATGACCACCCATCTCCCTCACCTAGAGTGTGGTTATTTGTACCTCCTCCTCTGACTCTCCAAAGAGATTAGGGAATCTTGATCAAGCCACTTATGAGAGTCTGGACCTTCATTCATATCCACAGTTCTCATCTGGACTCTGCGGGGTCCTTAAGTCCCTGAAACTATATGCAAAATTGTATGCAAAACTCTATTCCATAACAGAATTATCACCTGTGAATTTCCGTCTTTTTGAAAGCATACTTAAAGAATGTTTAACCTATAGAGACTACTGAATAGTGTTTTCCTTCCTATAAAGGGAAAAAAAAAAAAAGGTATGTGGTTTAATCTTGCTTTACTGAGAAGGCCAAAGCTTTCATAAGATTCTCCAGAAGAGCTCCAAAACTGGATAATATCTTACGATCTACTTGAACACCAAGGTTGGGACAGATGATTTCTTTGGATATTCCAAACTCTGTTATGCTACAATATAAAAATATTTCTACCAATTCAGCTTGGCGTGGAGTTGGAGGGTCAAGAAGAACTGGAGACTACGCATCCAGGATCTTGCTGACTTCCAGATGTCTTGGATTCACCGGTATCACTTCCGTAACACAGGCACAGCCGTGCTATGACATCCTGAGAGTCCCTGCGAGTCCCTCCCCAGTTCCCTTTTCCTCTGCCTTGACCCAATCTCACCATACCCCAGGACCTCACCCTTGGTGGCTGGACCTGCGCAACTTACCACGTGCTCACTGATGTCTTGGCCAAGGCCGGCAGCCCGCTGGCTTTGATAGTACTCTAACTGCTTTTCCGCCAGTTCTACCCGTTGCAACAGGTTCTCAATAAAGTCCTGGAGCCGAGCTTTCCCTTGAACCTCCTTCTCAGCTGCTGCTTCGAGGAAATGGTTGAATGTAACAACTTCTCTGCGAGGAAAAATGTCAGAATACAAAATGGAGAAATGAGACAGGAACTCATTCATTCAACACATATTTATTGAGTGTCTACTGTGTCAGACACTGCCCTGGGCAGTATGGCCACAGCAATGAGAAAAGAGATGAAATTCAATTTTAGTGATCACATTTAGAGATTACATTTTAGTAGAAGAAGATAGTCACTATAAAATGCACAAATAAATATACATGTCAGGGAGAAAAATGAAACCAGGCGCAAGGGAACAGAGGGTAACAAAGGAAGGGAAGGAGTGAGAGATATTTTAGGAAGCAAAGTCAGGGAGGACCTTTTGGATGGGGTAACATTTGAACAGACACTTGAAGCAAGCAAGGAATAAGCCATGCAGACACCTGGGAAGAGTAAGCAGGGCCCTCGGTGGGACCCTGCAGACAGGTCCGAGGTACAGCAAGGAGGGCTGCGTGGCCGGAGCAGAGCAAGGAAAGGGGAGCACAGCAGGAGCAGCAAGCCAGGTAGGGCCTCACAGGTCACTGTGAGGACTCCAGATTTCATTACAAATGAGAAAGGAATCCACTGGACGCTTCTGAGAGAAGTTCTGACTTGCATTTTAAAAGCATGGATATTGGGGGAGAAGAGACTACAGGGAGGGAAGGTATAGAAGCAAGAAGCCATGCTCAGCTCCAAAGTGCATAAAATGAGTCACCTTGTCCAATAGTGAATTTTTGAGCTAAGAATGAAACAGCCCAAGAAATGCCATTTTGAGGTAAGTCCAAGGTCTGTTGGGAAAGCTATTTTAGCTGACATAGGAGAAGCAATGTGCAGGTTGCCCTTCCCTAAAAGTTAAGCAAAATACCTCAGACCATACTCCTGATAATTCCGCATAATTCACTGTGACTCACAAATCCAGAAGAGTTTTAATTACTTTATTAATATTTTATCTTTTTATTTCTAATGCAAGTATGAAAATAACACTTTCCTGATTTATAATTACATAAGGTCTTTATTTAAAAATTCAAACACATTAAAATATAAAGAAGAAAATACCACCTGAAACTCCATTATCCTGAGACCACCACCATTAACATTTTGGTAGCCATCCTCAGGAATATCTCTATGAACACACACACACACACACTTCGGCTTTTTCTCAGGCCAAGCACCAGGTAATCAGCACTACCAATAGGTGTATATTATCACAATTCTCTTCATCTGATTTGCTCACTTAATAAGAAATCATGAAGATCCTTTCAGCCATCCCCTTTGTATGCTCTGCCACCCCCACTGGGGTTAATGAATTCCATAATTTTACTACCTGTCAGACATAGTATTTCTTTTATGTGTCTTCAAAATGTCTCTCAACCTTCAAGGAGTGGCCCCTCATTTTTCTGCCATGTTCAACTTACGCAGAACCAAGATTCTAAAGACTCTGATCATTGTCCCCCCAGCCTCTTTCATTTTAGATAAATGAATCTTATTTTTTTATCTAACCTCATGCAGTTGTTCTACATAGTCAATTAAATTTATCGCCTTCTCTGCATCTCGCAACCTCCACTTGATTTTTATTTTCCACCAAGCTCCATAATTTCTTGAGAGCAGAACTTCAGGGAAGTACGGCCCAGGAAGTCACAGTTTCACAGAAAGTCTTTGCAAATCAGCTGGTAGTGGCTTCCAGCGCCTCTGCTCTGTACTAGTCATTGTGCTACTTCTATAATTAGTCATGATTTTACTCTCTCAAATATATTATGGCACACTTGGTCATACTGAAACTTTTCTGACACGTCCTACTGAGTCTCTGCAAAACCTTGGGAAGTATATATTTATAAAAACAGAAAAGAGACTGGTCCTAACAAGGATTCACTGAAAGAATTGCTCATTATACCAGCCCCTTTTTTTCTGGTTCTAGTTTTCTAGTTTCTAATAAATATTCACATAAGAGAAATAAGGCTCCTTTTGGAAAGGACTTTTCTTTCATCAGCAAGTTTCAAGTTTATTTCCAGATGTTTCCGTATGAGCCCTGAATTGAAGACGAGCACTTTTCAAGCTGTTCAGGCCATGGACACAAGCCAGTTTTCAAGCTCTACTGTCATTCCGCTTTGATGTGCCTCCTAGGTTTGTCACAAACCTTAACTAGCAGCAAAATAGTGGAGGGTCCGTCCGGGTGCTACATTTAGCCGTTTCATGGTTCCTAGGCATTGTTGAGATCCTTTGGATGGAGTATCTTCAGAGCTCCAAAGCACCACCAAAAACAGAGCCCAGGAAAATGGCTACTTTTTTCTCTTTCCAACATTCATTAAGGCTTCAATTCATTCGGCGTCAAGCCATTATAGAGACTTCCTGGGTGATACTTATGGTAACTTAATCATGAAATAGTCTCCAAATTGTACTTAACGGAAAACAACCAAAAACCTACAACCCTCTTTCCCACCAAAAACAAAAATATAGAAAAAAGAGCCTAGTGTTTTTTGTTTTTCAATTCATTTTGGTTTATAATATTTACTATATTGAACTGATTAAAGGTATATTTCACATTTATTATGGAAAATATGAAAATTGACCTATTGGAGGATCTGAGCAAAGGCTATTCAGTTTTTTGTTCTCTGCTCTAAGCCTCTCACTCAGTACAATACATGACACATATAAATATTCAATAAATATTTGTTGTAATTAATGTTTGAAAAGGACAAGGAAGAAACAAAAACTGAACCATAATCCCACCACCCAGAGGTAATTACTGTAACGCCCTGGTATATTTTTTCCAGTCATTTTTTCTCTATGCATATTTAGTATCTTTGGGCTTTTGGGCTGTACAGTTTAGATATTTGATGGCTTAATCCCACAGGATTAACATCTCAAAAGCAAGAAAACAAATCTGAATGCAATACAGTTTATGATTGTGGCTGTATTTTTAAATCATGTAATGTTTTGCTACTGGTTCCACATAAAACTTTTACAAATTAACATTAACGCTCCTGGCTGACCGTGGAGTGTTATGTCATGTTGTAGAAGAGCAGCATCTTTTTCTAACCTCCTCTTCATTCAATTATCTTGTGCCTGAAGCTGAGAACTTAATACCCTTTGTATTTTTCAACCAACCCAGCACCAATGCTAACCGAATTTCAGTTTATGGATGTTTCACATCAAATTAAAAAAAAAAAAATTAAAAACAAGGCTGATGATTTCATTTTAAAAGAAGTTACACAAGACAACGGCTGGAGAAATTAATCATACTGAGATTGCGTTTGGGGATCTGTATTAGATAAAAACAGTAACAAAAACCAGTGACTAAGTGTGGAATAGCATGTGTACAACTTCAGATTCCCCTTTCACATTCTGTTCAGTGCGGATTAACAATATCCAGGAACACCTCTTATTTCCCCAAGGAATCTGGGGAATTTCCAGAATGGAAAAGAAAGAGGATTAACCACTTGCATTTGCAACCTCTTTAATAATTATACTCCAAACAGTAAAATATCCATAAAAAGTGTAAGACAGGGCAATGGATTTCAATGTAAGGGATAACAAAATATTCACTGATATGATTTCAGATTCCATGTTGCAATTAACCTGTAAGAAACTACCAACTGTCAAGTTGTGGCATAGTATCAAAGCAGAATATCCACTATTCTCTGGAAAGGCTATTAAAATGCCCCTCCATTTTCCTCCTATATATTTTTGTGAGATTGGATTTCCTTCATCTACTTCAACCAAAACAATAAATTTGCAACCAATTAAACGCAGAACTAACAAGGTCCAGACGCATTCTATTAAGCCAGACATTATAAATATTGGCAAAACTTATAAAACAATGCCACTCTTTTCACTCAATTCTTTCTGGGAAAAGAGTTATTTATATGTTAAAATATGTTATTTATGTTGACAAGTAATGGATTTCTCATTGCTATTTTTAAATGAATTAATAAGAGTTTTTTAAATTTCTAAGTTTTAATTTCTAATACAGTACAGTCAGGTGCTGCATAACGACGTTTCAGTCAACAAAGGACCGCGTATATGATGGTGGTCCCGAGGGGCCCGCCCTGTGGCGTAGTGGTTAAGTGCCCGCACTCCGCTGCTGGCGGCCTGGGTTCGGATCCTGGGCGCACACTGACACACTGCTTGTCAGGCCATGCTGTGGTGGCATCCCATATAAAGTGGAGGAAGATGGGCACAGATGTTAGCCCAGGGCCAGTCTTCCTCAGCAAAAACAGAAGGATTGGCATGGATGTTAGCTCAGGGCTGATCTTCCTCACAAAAAAAAAAAAAAAAATGATGGTGGTCCCATTAGTACCATACAGCCTAGGTGTGTAGTAGGCTATACCATCTAGGTTTGTGTAAGTACACTCTATGATGTTCACACAACAATGAAATCGCCTAACGATGCATTTCTCAGAACATATCCCCATTGTTAAGCAAATACGTGACTGTAAATATTGATAGATAAAACCCACACAAACAAAAGCCTTTGGGGATCCTCAGATTTTTTTTTTTTTTTTTTTAGGAGTGTAAGGGGAAGTGAAGCCAAAAAGTTTGAGAACTGCTGCCATACTGTGTACCAGAGTGATCCTGAAGCTCAGAACTCTGGAGGGTGGACAACGTGGGTTAGAACACTAGCAAGATGCAGCCACAATCCATACGTTTATTTATTCCATTATTCAGTAACTCAATATTTACTGAATGCTACCAGCTACTGGGCTTAGCGCTGGGGCACTCATGAACCCACAACTATCTTCATGAAGCTCACTGTCGAACAGGGGTCAGCCACCTTTTTCTATGAAGGGCCAGGGAGTAAATATTTTAGGCTCTGCAGGCCATGCAGTCTCTGTTGGAACTACTCAACTCTGCCCAGTGCAAAAGAGCCGCAGATAACATGTAAACAAATGAGTGCGGCTGTGTAACAATTTTTTTTATTATTTTACTTTATTTATGGACACTGACATTTGAATTTCATATAATTTTCATATGTCATGAATTATTATTTTTCTTTTGAATTTTTTTCAATCATTTTAAAATATAAAAA